ACCCAAGCCACGGGGTCCTCGCAAAGCTCTGGCAGCGACTCCTCTCCAGTCGGTGGATTTGGTACTCAACACCACCGACAACCAGCGAGATACCCGATTGTTGGGTTATTTGGGGTCTTTATTCTTAGGCCACTCCATGGCGGTACAAGAGTTCTATCCAGACATCTCCAACCTGGCGCAATTCGATCAATTTCTGCTTGCTGCGCAGAATTGGCTAAATGCACGACCCTCGGAATTTCCGACCGTCTCAGATGGTGCGCCCACATTGATCTAGGGATTTGCGCATGTTCTGACTATCAGCTTAGCCGTATATGGTGCATTTCTCAGCAACATGCGAGATCACGTATGATTTTACTACCTCTGAGTGAGTGCGCATGCTGAAGCATCCTCAGATAATCCGTTCTGTCCCCCAAATTTGGACAGGATATAGGACACACATGCAGTCGCACCTTGCCCAAAAACTCATTGCCGACTCCGACGTGCACGAGCTTCTCCGAGGTTACCAAATTCTGCATAATTCGGTATGTATGCTTACACAGACGACTGGTCTTCTAACCCAATTATAGTCCAATCCTCATGCAGATGACAACGATGAGGAGGAGAGTTTCGAGGATTTCGACGAGGAGGATGGCGAGATCACGGGCGAAGTCCACTCTGGCGGGACCATGCATACCGTCCCCCCAGGTCAAGTCCTCGAGGGCGAACCACCTAGTGGCCTCACCGACGAGGAGGCCAAGGACCACCGGAAGAACTTCATACTCAGTCATCGACCGGAACGCGGCAGTTTCACTGGACGTTATCTTATCTTGGCCATCAAGGCGCTGCTCAATTACCGACTCCTTAGCCCGATGTGCTTGGAAACATTCGAAGAAGTTATACCGCTTCCGGTGATTGCGCTCAGTGCAGTTTTTGGTCAGTGTCTTTTTTTGGCACTTCTCTCTATTTCACCTTTCATTCAGCTAATTCACGTACTTCATACCATTATCAACCCGGCGGTGCGATTTGAGAGCTCACGATATAAGATGCTTTACTATGCGATCCTCGAGCTGCTGGAGGCGACTTGGAATCATCCAGTCCATGGGCTAGCTCTCCGCCGCCTCAGCGCCAAATTGGTTAAAGCCCTCGGGAAAAGTCAGTGCTACCTATTGTCATTCCAGAGGCTGACCGAAAGTTGTAGGAAAACAACAATAGAAACTGTCGTCGATGTCTGACAAGGCGCAGGCGCCTCATTTTTCCCTCAAGTGACGTATTTCATTCACAATTTGTAGTCTTCACCCCTAGATACTGCACAAATAGAACCAATTCATTGTCCTGACTATGAATATTGTCTGAATTATATGAGAGACCGTGAATTATTTGTGACGACGAAGCAAAAAGTGCGAATAGTATGATCGCATCATCATCATGATGCTTGAGCTGTGTTACTCTCAAGTTCTTACCACCACGAGCTTCACCCAGAGCCTACTATCGGGATGATAGAACGCTCTGCAGACTTCGGGGAGCACAATCAATCCAAGGACGTCGTCGTCCGAGTAGCTCATATCGCAAGGTGCGTCGTTATGCATTGCATTCCCGTTTCACTGAATACTTTGCAAGCTGCTACAGATTTCATCGCGTGTTGTCCTTCTACCTGGACGAGCAACCAACACTACTGACCGACCTTCTCACTCTTCTTATTTTTCGCAACATCGACAAGCGAAATCATTCGCCTCATTCCGATTCGCCTCTGATTCGAAACTCCTTTATCGCGGCAAGTTCCTTCAACTTCAAGTCCTCCAGTCCTTTCTCACCACCGCCCACAGCTCAAGATTGAGGACTTCAACGACGCCTACAACGAAGAGGAAGACTGCAAAACCTTGCGGAATTCCATCAACAACTTCGACAACTTTAGTATGTCAAGTTGTCGTCAATATCGCGACTTCTAACTCGCGTGGCGAGGACGTATTGGAAGGCTTGGCCGAGGTTTTGCAGCTCTATGTCTTCACTGGTCAAGGTTCGCAAGAGCAGGGAATGGGAATGCAACTGTACAATTCCTCGGATCCACTTTGGTGGTATCAAGGGTCAGGCTATTTCGTCGTCGCTACATGGACATAACCTACAACACAACGGGCAAGGACGGGAACTTGAGCTCTTCTCGTACATTGATACTCGCACACCGAAGTACACCTTCGGCCACCCACAAGGTCTACTTTTCGCCACCCAATTCACTCAAATCGCGCTTGTCGTTACCGAGAAGGCTGCTTTCGAGGACATGTGCATGAAGGGCTTTCTCCAGAAGAAGGACTGCGCGTTTTCGGCCTTACGCGAGGTTGTCGATAGGATTTCGACTTTGACGGGTACTCTTCTTGAGATCGTTAACTCCATTGTCGAGGTATGCTTTGTTTTCTTTGTTGTTCTTGTTCTGACCATTTGTAGGGTCAACAATATGCCTGCGCTGTCGAGCTCGTTGCTCTTCAGACGATGACCAATATTTTCAACTACCTGAAGATCCAGAATCCATCAACAACTTCGACAACTTCAGGACGTTTGCCTTGACCAAGCGCCACTCCTCGAGCTCCGTCCACTTGCCGTGTATCTATCTATCGAAGGTACGAAGAGTACCCCGTTTTCTGTTCTCTTTTCTCACTTTCTCAGTAGAAAGATTCGCGATGGGACCAGCTTATCGTTGAACGGCAGACTCTTCAGGGATGCAATAACCACAGCAATGTCGTTGGATCCACTGAGGTTGCTGAGCAACCAATGCCGACATCGCAATACTTCGCGCAGCCTGAAACAGATGTGAATGGTCGAAGAAGGGAGTGCAGGGGGAGCAAGAGGATTATCAGCACAAAACGGCTAACTGGTGGGCTTGTTACTATGACCAGACGAATGTAATAATGCCTCAAATGACCGGGTTTTACTGAAGGACTGTATACTCGAGCGTGGATAACATCCTTTTATTTTGGCACCGTCGCTTGGGATGTCTAGTCTGGGTTTGAGAGCGACAGAAACCCTATAGCTAAGGCTTCTGACGCTCCAACTTGCTCTTCCTCCCGTTCTGCACGGCTGCACTCGCGCTGAATGTACCGCTTATGTAACATACTTGCTTGACACTGAACACGCTGGCTGACTCGGACAGCAGCAACGACGACGGCGACAACCAATTTGCAAGCGAGAAGTCCGAAGGCCCCTCGATGAAGTTCATGTGTACATAGCGATACCGGTCACGGAGAGCCTCTTCAACACCAACTATGAATACAGCTCAATTGGAAACAGACAACCTCTTGCCACACGGCCGTGTAGAAACGGTGACTACCACTACGGAGACGTATACTGGGCCTTCTATCCGTGGAGACGCTTCAAAATCCGCGCTCTGAAAACCTTACTTTACCTTGTGGCCGAGGAAGCAGGCCCAGTGAAAGCAGACACTCTCATGCCTTTCTCACTATGGAGCCTGCTCGCTTGCATTCTGAAGCACGGTTGAGACTCGGATGGCGACGATGTGAGACTGAAGTCTGCACAAGTACGTGTCTTTAGTTTCACTTGAACTTTTATCAATCGTCGCAGCGCGCATCCTCTGCTCAAGATGCGCATCTGTCAATACATAGGCCTACACGAAGATTCGCTTGGATTAACAAAATAGAATTTGCTGTAGTGGGTGGTCAAGTAGCGACGGTTGATGCGGAGCTGGTATCCAGGCCATCTTTTACAGAAGGCTGGACTGGTGGAATAGGTGCCTTTTCCATTGTTTGCGTCGAGGTGTGCACTGTGAAACTCGTCAAGATGCACCCTCAGATTCTCAAGCATTACCAAGATTTCGCTGCCCTCGAACGGGCGGCATCGCTTATCCTGCGGCACTTGACATCCCGAGGTCCGCACTTCTATTCCATTTTCGCTTGTCTTCCACTGACCCTCCATACTTAGTGGCTTGTCAATCATCTCACCAGCAATGCTCACCGTCAGAACCTTCACATGGCGCTTCAGATTGCGACCAAATGCTTCGACATTATGGGCCCGTCTGATCGATTCAGATGTTCAAGTGTTTCAAGCGATTCGGAGGTTTGTCTTCTACTTCACCGTGTCTGTTAAACTGACATCCACAGGGCGTTATGAGGCCCTTGTCAGCAGCCCAATTGCGTCTATGACACGGTCGACGAGCTCGCGAACGAAGTTGAGCAACAAAAGCATTCATTCTTCCCTGCCTCGAGGCCCGTGTTCAAGCTGGTAGCCGGGGCACCGCCGTTTTCAATGCTATCGCACAAATCGATATTTACACAAATGCTGAAGCATTCGTCAAGCGCAACAATATGTATGTAGCATCTGACAATTACTGATTTAGCGGCTGACACGCGCGCGCAGCTCTACGATTCCACGGTGGTTGAACGCGACCGGTCCTTCGCCTTTATTGCCTATGTCAAAGGCTTCTGTGGATGAGGAGTAGATTGCGATTTATCCACCGCAACAACGTAACGTGTGGGGTCAAATTCTCTCAGGTGACAATAGTCATCGTCCTCAGCTTATTCATCGGTCAGATTTTTCCAAAGTATATCTGTTATTATCTGCAGCGGTTGACGACTCACTAAGATTGTCATGTGCTTCGCTACCCCGACAACGCATTGAACATCTTCCGAGGTTCCAACATCCTCGCGCTTGCAACTTTGCGAGCCTGACCAGATCCCTTCGGCTCCCAAATCAGCGCTTCTCAATACCGTTTCCAATGACAAGGCCTCCGTTTTCGCCCTTTTCGGCGGACAAGGCACGAACCAGGTCTATTTTGACGAGTTGCAATCGCTCTACGACATTTATCAGCGATTTGTCGCGCAATTCATTGAAACCGTTACCAAAGATGCGCTTATTATCCCTCTTGCTGCCAGCGCAAAACTCCACATTCCACTACCTTCGGCCTCGATGTCGTTTCATGGCTTTCTAGCGCGTCTCCATGACCATCGACTGCCTATCCCGCATCTGTAGCAGTGGCTTCAACATTTGCTGGCAAGCTACAACGGGTTCGCTACCTCCAAATGGCGCGAAAGACCCCACAAGAACTCGGTCTCGACAACAAGTTGGTGATATGGAGGACTTCACTGACCATTCTCGACCAACGACAAACTGCCTTGCAGCGTCTCCCTTCACAATGCCCCCGCGCCTTCGTCGTTACCGGTCCAGCTCGCTCCCTCTATGGCCTTGTCACTAGCCTTCGCAAGGTTCGTGCTCCGAGCAGCCTGCTCAGAGCAAGATTCCCTTCTCTCAACGCAAGCCCATCTTCTCCACTCGTTTCTTGGTTGTCGGTGTTCCTTGCCACAATGGATACCTTGTCGGCCAGACGGAGAAGATCATAGCAGAGGATTTGGATGGAGAGGAGGCCTCGAATCCACGCAGGATGGTGATTTTTTTTTTCACGTGTTTGATCATCTTGCTGATGTAATCTTTTCAGCGTCGCCATCGACTTCCATCACTGCCAGCGAGGGCAATCCACTGGTCTGCAGCGACCAACTTCCTCGAGACTACTACCCATACTGTCGACTTTGGACCTGGAGGGTTGAGCGGAATCGGTCTTTTGACCGCGAGGAACCCAGGTGTCCGTGTTATCGTTGTGGGCGACCGCGCCACCAAGGGCGACGCGGAGTTATCTGGTTCGCAGAGCGTCAAGTATGACGACTGGTGGACGAAGCAGTTCTCGCCGAGGTTGGTGAAGACCAGGTATGTTACAATAATTACCTTTTCATTTCTGCACATACTAACGAATTCTACCAAGTGATGGATGGCACCATGTATATCGACACTCCCGTCTCGCGTCTCCTCGGCAAGCCACCCATTATGGTCGCGGGCATGACTCCTTCGACTGTTCAAGCCGGTTCCGTCAGTGCTGTCCTTGACGCTGGTTATCACAGAGCTCGCTAGTGGTGGTCACTACACCAACGCTGCTCTCCGCTCCAAAGTCGCCGAAATACAGGCCAAGATTCCCGCTGGTGTCGTTTACATCAACCAGCGCCAATTCGGCTTCCAACTCCCACTGTGGCAAGAGCTCCCCGTCGAAGGTTTCTGCGTCGCGGCCGGTATCCTGAGCACGGAGAAGGCCGCAGACATCATTCGCGGTCTCCGTCTTGCTGGTATCCGCCATGTCGCCTTCAAGCCCGGCTCAGTCGACAGAATCCGACAAGTTGTCGCTATCGCTGCTGCCAACGCCGACTTCCCCATCATCCTCCAATGGACTGGTGGTCGTATTGTTGTCACCACTCTTACGAGGAATTCCATCAACCCATTCTCCAAACCCACTGCGCAATTCTGCCAACAACCCAATATCTCTCTCGTTGGTGTTAGTGGTTTCGGTGCCGCCGAGGATGAAGATGCCAAAGGAGAAGCGTGCCGTTTGGTTGTTGGAGCGACGGGACGAGATTATTGGCAAGTTGAATCGCGACTTCAGCAAGCTGTGGTTTGGTTGGAAGAAGGATGGCAGAGTCGCAAAGGAGCTCGGCGAGATGACCTACGAGGAAACCGTCCTGCGTATGGTCCGCTTGATGTTTGTTGCCCACGAACATCGGTGGGTCGATGTCTCGTTGCGCAACTTGACTGGCCAAGGGTCGGGTTGAAGAGCGTTTCGCGGGTGTCGACGGTGGTGGACAGAAGCCTTCCCTGCTTCAGTCTTACAAGTCCTTGGAAGACCCGTTGCCTTTCATCGAGTCCTTCTTGAAGGAGTATCTGATTGCCACTAAGCAGCTTCTTGCCGCAGAAGACTCCGCCTCCTTCCTCGAAACTTGTTCCCTTCATTTCCATTCTTGATGCCACTTTCGGAAGTATGGTTCAAAAAGGTTTGTTCGACTTTCCCTACTTTTCTCATATGACTGATCTTTTCCCGTAGGACTCTCTTTGGGCTGCTGAAGACAGCTTCGATCTGTCTTCGACCAAGACCCCCCGCGTGTTTTCATCCTTCAGGGCCCCATGGCTGTTAAACACTCGAAGATCAAGGACGAGCCCATCAAGGATATGTTGGGCAACATTCATGCCGAACTCATTCAACGTCTTCTTGCCTCCAAGTGGAAATTGTAGTATGGAGACGATGCCGTCCTTCCTCGAATCGACATCCACGACACTTTCCATGGTCCCGAGGTCACCATGGAGAGCGCTGCTGTCCAGCTGATATAGCTACTTCTATGCAAAAGATGTGGGCCACTGCCCATGGGTGTAATGCAAAAGATGTGGGCAACAGCTTTAAAGTCACAAATGTCACAAGTATTTTCATGATAATTAATTATTTTAAGGCTTTCTAGCACCTTCTAGGTGATGGGATCAATGCCTTTTATATAATGTTTTTGATGTGGAACCATTTTTGATGAAGATCAATTGATTTGCTTATTAGGCTCTGTTCCATCAATGTGACATGTGATTACATCAATTCCCTTGCCCTGTATTATAAACTGTTCCAAATTATATACCGAATCATCGGCCTGAAGAAATAGTGACTTCTATTACCATATATAGCATTAGCTTAGTCATAGCTATCAATTTGGCTCTTTAATCTAGTATTTATATTACAGGCTTGTGACCTGTGGGCAATTGCCCACATCTTTTGCATTAGACTGGTGGGCAGTGGCCCACATCTTTTTGCAAAAGACTGGGTATACAGGGTGTGCTGTCGAGCAGTTCTGTGCTATTGTGGGCAACCGGGCGAGTCGTTCTCCACCGTTCGAAACGAGGAGGTTACCGCGCCAATGGATTTCGCGATTGTCATTGGCTCACAGGTTCATTTGCTCATTTTTAGTTTGATTCTCAAAGTTGCTAACGCAGTTCAAAGGCTATCGTGAAGTCAATTTTCCCCGACGACCAATGTTCTCAACTACCTGAAGATCCAGAAGATCGACATTGCCAAGGTATGTTCAATCCATTGTTTTCGTCGACTAAAACTCATTGCATCCTGTTCAGCTCACGGAACAGTTCACTGTCGAGAAGGTCAAGGAGATGTTGGGCGACATCGTCAAGGAATACCTGGTTGTCTACAAGACACGCAAAAGGCTGACGGACACCTCAAACCTGAGCGTGGCATCTCTACAATTTCGCTCTTCGTACCTCTGGCGGACTCCTACCTTGCGAGCTTGTATGAACTGCTCTTTATTTCTTTTGTTAGATTTGTCGATGATCATTGTTACCCAGCTTTATCCCGACATGCTCATTGGCAAATACATACCCAATCTCATCGTCATTCCCTTCGCTATCACCAAGGAGCATTTCCGCTTGAGCGTGGCCTTGGTCGCGCGTCGTACCGCGGCGTTATCTCCTCAACTCAAGCATATCGGAGCCATTCCCTCCGATTTATTCCCCATCTCTTACTGCCTCTCCTCTGCCAACCTCGTATGCTCACATCAGGGCAGCACTCGTGCGCATAACCACTTCGATGTCCTTTCGGAATGGCCACCGCCAAATCAGCACGTGACTCGATCACTATCCTCTATCCGCATTTGGTATATAAATTACGCCGATCATCCTTCACCTCTTTCCCTCATACTTTACTGCTCGCAGCGTTGGGATGCCTGAATCGCAAGCAAACCCTGACCCGAATAATCCGACACCTCCTCCTTCATCCACCATACCCGTCCCAATCCCCCCCCCTCGACTTCGCTCACCCCCGAACAACAAGCTTTTTACCAGGATATTCTTGACCATCTCGGCTTCAGCGTTCCGCCTGCGGCGTCCTCTGGTATCCAGTCCGTCCTAGGGAAGCGCAAACTTGGACCTCCCCGAAACGCGCGCAAGCCCACTTCTTTCTTCGACGGAATCTGTCAATCACACTGTGCAGGCTACATCGAGGGGCTTACCACCAGTTAATCGACGCTGCGAAGTTTACTCCTCGCGGCGCAGATGCCTTCTGGAATATGAAGCGCATCCTTAGTTATGGCTGTCTCAAATCTTTCCCCGCTGCTGGGGCTGCTCGCTTCGAGGACCTTCCTCCCAGGTAATATTCAATTCATCGACTTTCTTCTCTCATTATGCGTCACAGCGAACGTGCAGGTCATCACGCGGACATTTTCGCGAAGATTATGTCAACATGCCGCGTCAATCTCTTACCTGTCCTGCAGCACATCTACCATGACTCGAATAGTCGTCCCGCCGTCTGGCAAGCACTATGTGATCGAGTGAGTGTTCCTTTTCTCTTATTAGCCTTCCTTACTATGATTTAGATGGCCCAAGCCGCTCGTGAAGCACGAACTCAGGATACGAACACATTCAAGAACAGCTTGCGCATTGTACTCCCAATTCCCGGCTCGGACTGCCTATTTCCACCCATCGAACAAGGCATTGCCAAATCCAAACGGGGTCTTGCTCATCCTCAACTCCGCATGCTACTCATGCCCTGGAAAGACCGAGTTCTATTTCCACCTTTAATCTATGGACCACCCGCTAAGTCAATCATTCGCGTTCCCATTCGATACCAAGGCTTATTATTATTTCAGTCCAACACCCACTCTATCGTAAGGTTATCGCCTGCGTGCTCATTTCATTGACGAGTCAAACCGTGTTAGCCCTGAAGCTCAGATGTGCTTTTACTTTCGCTACCTCAATTGGCCCACTCATCCTTTCTGTAGTATCTACGACAAGATCGTCGCAAGTCAATACACCCCGTCTTGCAAATACTTCCCTTCGTTTTGCTACCCGGATGGCCAGTGGAACCCCGACGCCTATCTAGAAAATCTATTCACCGGGGTTGCAATTTGGCGAGTATGTATTTATCTTCATGTCTGACTTCCTTGAATATTGATGCTCCAACAGGGCATTCGGCTTTTATTTGTCTCGCGTCTAGGCGCAAGTAACGCTGCAGACGACGAGCTCTCTTACGGTTGTTTAGCTGCTATTCACAACATTCGTCGTGTCACCGCTCATATGGTCGCATATGTGGTTGTACAGGTAATGCATATATCTTCTCAGGTCTACACTGAACCTGTTTAGGTTCGGCTATCCCTCAGCAGTGCTCCTCAGTGGGCAAACCAAGAGTCTAAAAAATACAAGTTTACTGTTCTCTATCAGAAGGTTTTGGATGCGTTTGCTGACGATTCCGACCCCGATCGCCCCGAATGGGGCAAGGAGACACTTGACTGGTTGACTGAGTATCCCATCTACCCTCTCATATTCTTGTTTCTTATTGTTTGCAGGCGGGTTTTTGGCGAAGGCGAGGATACCATGTCAGATGGGTCGGATTGCGATGGAGCTGCCAGCGAAGATGAAGCAGTGGCTCAACGTCGCCGTCGTGCTAGCCAACGTGTGCTTGCGGATGCGACCAACTCTGGTGGTACTTGAATTCGTGTTGCGTTCCTCATCTCCATGTTTGTATCCTCTCTAATCCTTTTCAAAGCAGGACCTATCCCATCCCATTATGTCATATACCATCTATATCGTGATCGTTTAGTGGTCCCTCGTCGTTTACCCGCTTCTTCTACGCTCGTTACCGGTGCCTATCCACTCGCTTATATCTTACTCCCAAATTCAATAATTGTTCTTCGTGATGACTGTGGATTGGATTGATGGGTTGATTTTCTCGCATCATTAGCCCGCAGTGGTAATCCGTCGTCAGGCGTTTAGCAGTTGGCAATCACCTGGAATGGCTTACAGCCGTTGATTAAATTTGAAATGGGGAGCAGCAGACTTGATGTCGTTTTCAACAGCTTGTATTCTCAACCTATCCTGTTCTTTAGCTTCCCAGTGCCAATGAGAATTTTAGGCCGTTGCAAATTTTGGCTTGAGTTGAGATGGCCTATAAGAGCAAAAAACTCTCATATTCTCCCTAAGGTTTTGGGTATCTATTAAGGGACTCGCTAATTGCCTAGAATCCTTGGCAATCAGTTGTAGCACTGGTAAACAAGACAAAGGTTAATAGGCAATGATAAGGTCAGAAATTCAATGCAAGAGAGACACAACCCTATTCAAGCCTTACAAGGGACTTTTCAGGGTTTGTGGGTTTGAAGATCTCCATATGACCAAGATATAACTCGACTCAGAGGATTGTTGACGCTTACAAGACCTTACAGCTGTTATAATTACGTAGCATGACCGTTACATCACGCGGCCGCTTTCTGTGATGATCGGCGATCACTCCATCATGATGGCTGTGCTCTCGATTTCAACAAAACCCATGACGGTCCTACTCGACCTTCCTGTCGAGTTGATACTCCTTATAGCGTCCTCCATCAGCACTATCTATAATATTGACCCTGACTACCGACTACCGCCACACAAGTCGATTTTCTACCCTCGCAGGATCTTAAAACCAGTCTTGAGGTTGTTGCCCGACCTCGCGTCAATCAACACGCTATCCAGAACCTGTAAAGCTCTGTACAATGTCGTCAATCCTCTTCTGTATGACGTTTGCTCCAAAAACGAGGCTCTCGGTCGACTTTCTGTCCTCTTTGCGGTTGAACACCAACTCGAAGAGGTCGTGGACAGACTCGTTGCTGCCGGAGTCAGTCTAGACTTTGAAGTTGTCGTCGAGAACGACGTATACGGCCTTCTGCATGTCGCGGCCTGGCTGGGCTACGTTGGAATGGTCCAGAAGCTGTTGGATGTTTATGGAGATTCAGATGCGAGGCAAACGTGGGTTTATCGACGACTAGGTCTGAACTCAAACAAAACGGCGCTCGATATGGCTGCCGAGTCTGGTCGGTCTGATGTTGTGCGACTACTGGCCGCTATCCCCTTGCCCTCCTCCCAGGTTCCCCTTCGAATAGCGCCAGGGTACAAAAACAGTTCGCGCGCCTTGGCAAGAAAAGACTTTGTGATCGAGTATGCTGGATTTGAGAGCAGGCGCATGTATATTGGACGAGCATTTTCCGGCTCCGTGGCGACCAAAAATGCACAACTCGATACCATTAGGTGGCTTGGGACCCATGAAGATTGTGACGTGAATTACTGCGACGATGGTGAAGACTGTGACAACAACTACATCCATCCTCCACTTGTACGAGCTATCTCGCCGCTGAATTGCCAAGCCTCCGTCGTAAAACTACTCCTGCAACTGGGAGCAAACCCCAACTTCCACAAAGACAACGATCACGCGCCTCTCCATATTGCCGCAACCAAGGCACTCGTCGAGGCGGCCGAACTGCTACTCGACGCTGGTGCCCATGTTAATGTGCCCGGTGTCAATGGCGGCACAGACCTTACCGATATACTTCGGCCCATCCGCCATTTCACCCTCAGCAGCAGAGCCCAGATGCTGCAGCTTCTTCTTGAGCACGGAGCAGATCCCACAGCGACCAATGGTCTTGGCCAGACGCCTCTGCATGTGGTGTTTGGCCTGGAAGACGCATCACATGTCCAAGAGTTGGTGGGGATACTGTTGCAGTTTGGTGCCGGTTCGACTGTTGAGAAAGAAGACTTGCAAGTGCCTCCCCGTACGCCCATAACACACTCCATGCGGACCAGCAATATCGGTGCGGTCAAGGCATTTCTTCCCCACATTCAAAACCAAGAGCTCAGACAGCAAGTAGTCCAATGGCTCACGAATGCATCATTATAATCACATCACATCCAATACAGTCTAGTTCCTGAATGGTTACTAGCTCAGCTATAATCTATTGATATAGAGCACAACCTAATTATCAGATTCTACGTGATTATGTCATGAAAGGATATCTTGCAGCACATTCCGCAATTGCACAATCTCCTCGCCCAGCTTTGGCCGTTCGGGCTCATAGTTATTAGTGTCTGGGGCAACACCACCCATGCCGTTTAGCATATAGCCCGCTTGGAAGAACCGGGGAACAGAGGCATTCGGGAGCCCATACCTGCCGTCGCAGACAAGGCGAGGAGGAGAGTCGCGGTTCCAGATGATGGAGTGGCCGATACCGACAGTTGTGACAGCACTATTGCACGCAAAAAGGGCGGCGACATCGCTTAGTGTCCGAGGGTCAGTTGTAGGGCGTTGCTTTTTTTCGGTGCCTGGACGGGGAAAGAGTATATGGACATCGGTAAGCGATGGGAAACGTGCGAGGCTGGCGAGGAGTTGGCTCGAGATTGTCTAAACGTTGAGTGAGAAATGAATGGAGCAATTTGGTAGAAACCCCACACCTCATCTCGTCCATACGCTTGCCATTTCCACTCGAAGCCAAATTGTGTGAGCTTGGCTGGATCACACAGGTCAAGGATGGCTTGAACGTCCGCGGCATCTATCCGACCGAAGCCCACGCGCAAACTTGTGAGGCGGGACAACACCCCTCGCAGAGCCTCTGCATAGGCAATCGTCTCCACGGTTTGCGGACTGACCAGTAGTTGCTGGACGGAAAGCTTTGCTGGCATCAATACACATTCATCGACCCACAAGTGTGTAAGATTTGGCAGTCCGCCAGAACCCATCGAGGCCAGAAATGTGGTCACGAGACCGGGATACGCCCGAGCACTTCTGTTTACGACGAGTCCTCGGTGCCATTCATATTCGTCGGCGTCAGAATGATCGTTGCTGTTTTCATCATTGTCGTCCTCCGAGTCATCTTCGCCATCGTCGTCATCAACTTCATCATCTTCATCATCATCGTCCTCCTCCTCCTCCTCCCTCTTCTTCTTCCTCCTCCTCCTCTTCTTCTTCTTCTCCGTTGTCCTCCTCCTCTGACTCATCCGCAACTTCCTCAGGGTCCTCTTCTTCTTCGTGTTCATTTTCCACTTCAGCGTCCGAATCCCAAAAATTACGTTGGTTGTTGCTCGTATTGTCTTTGATTTCCAACAGGCGCAACGCGTTCATTTCGAGTGGCGACAAGGCCTCAAAAAGGCGTATCTCCTCAATAATATTGAAGCTGAAGCTATTGCCAAAGGGATCAACAGAAAAACGACAGTAACGAACAAGGAAACGCACCTATATCTCAACTCTAGGTAGAGCTCTTTCAGAAGACCGCGATCGACCAGGTTTAATGGCCCAACTTGAGCAGCGCGCAACGTTTGCTCGCATACTACCAGCTTTAGACTGTGGAGAGATGGGAAACCAAGGAAGGGAAACTTGAATTGGGGAGTCGCCCCCCTTGGTGGCGAGCCAGCACCATCCCAATCCCAGACTCCTTCTGTGATGTCGAGTGTAAGGTCGCGCAGCCGAGTATACGTTTTGAAGTCATCTATCTTGCTCTGGAGAACCGCAAACATCGTGCAATTGACATGTCTGAGCTCCAAGGCAGAAAGGCGGGGCCCAATCGTTGTTGTGAAATCATCAATGCTGTGAACTCACATGAAAAAAAATAGCGATAATAATGAAGTCAGACGCACTCCCAGCTCTCTGCGTCATACCCCGCGCTGAAGCCTCCGGGTTGTATAGAATCCGGCAGAGGAGCTGCCCCCGTCTCATCCATGCTAAGATATGGCGCACAATCGACGCCGAATTTTTCAACTCGCTCTAAATTCTTCAAGGGTCCCAGAATAGTCGAGTCAAGTCGTAAGCCCGGATAGCCACGATAGTCGAATGAACGCAAGTTACTCGTCAAACCGAGGAGGTCCACAATCCTGCTTTGCAGCGCCAGGACACTGGCTCGCGGCTTGGGAAGGCTGAAGAGGTTCATGGATTTGTGTTCGAGTCGGATGATAAGATGGCGGAGATGGTGGGCTCGCGGCTTGGATTCTCCAACAGGGGTTGTGAGCAGGTAGTCCAGAATGGCATTCGACGCTTGTGTCGCTCGGGCATCGAAAGAGTCCAGGTTGATCGGCAACTCCCACAATCGGTCCAAAGCGACGAGAAGCAGCGGGTGGGACTTGGGAAACACTTTGAAGAGTGCGTAGAGCGTTGGGGGGTCGTGGATGTAAGTCAAGATGGCCGCAAAGACATCCGTGTCGAGTTCAGCCATTATGGTTCGGGGCGAGGAGAATATGGACTGGTCGTGGTTGAGGACAACCAGTGCAAGCAACGTGCAACCAAAAAAGGGTCCACATTTTGGGGAACTCGGCGGTCAGAGTCTTGGAAGAGTTACAGTCCTAATCCGATCGATGACATCGACGATCACATCTTTTTTCGTCGCACGTTTGGGCTCTGGAGTGAACGCAAAGTGAGAGAGAGAGAGTAGAAGAGAGTGCCTTTTCCGTCTCGTTTCCCCGTCAATCTCTCGCAACGCATCACCCGGCCCGACTCAGACATCACTGACTTGCCCGTTGGCTTGGATCCAGTAATGCAGTCAACAGAATGGCACAAACGCATAAACCCTTTTCAACTACCTCTGCAGTTTGTTTTTCGTTGCGCACGCAGTACATTTTATTCTTTAATTTGTAGTCTACACTTTGGCTTTCGCACTGTTCGCCTGTTGAACAGCCTTCAAAACCGCTGGATGCACCTCCCCGCCCGCTGCAACGACACCGAAATTCTCCCCGAGTGTCCGACCTAACCCAAAGTCAAGCCTTTCTCCTCGCGAGTCAGTTACGATTCCGCCCGCCTCTTCAACAAGAAGAGATCCAGGCGCATGGTCCTAAAAGAATTCAGTTCAAATGTGTATTTCTGCTCAATGACGAACCCAAATCTTTTCCCGATAGCCCACACCAGTGGGCATACGGAGATACAGGCCACCGTCCCCGCGCGCCAAACACCCGTATTTTGCTTGACTATCCATCCGCAACGGAGGCTTGGTTATTCCAAGAAGGGTCGATATCGTGTCTGTCGTTGAATGTGAAGAATGGGCTGCCTCGACTGACTCTAGAAAACTGAGGGTTGCTGGTGTAAAAGCGGGCATTCTAAGCAGAGCTTCGGAAGGTCCATTGAGAGGAAGCTATGTCGTCCATTGAGGATTGGAATACCATCGCAATGGGATACTCGCCTGGAAGCAGCCTTGACCTTTGATCGCAAGGAAGATGCAGCCACGCTCGCTGTCTGGCTTGGACAAATCGAGTGGGAGATTCGGACAGCCGATGATGCCCAATTGTACTTGAGCGTCAACAATCAATGACACACAGACTGCGTATTGCTCTCCACGAAGGAAACCCTTCGTTCCGTCAATGGGATCTATGGTCCACATTCCTGGAAAGCGAACTTTAACGTCAATCCAATAGGTCAAGCGGAGACATACGGCCGTTGCGCCCGCCCTCGTGGCTGCCTCTATCAATGGCATCCAATATTTCGTCGGTTTTTTTGGTCTGCCCCGGGCCGATTCCCCAAGCAACATCGTCGCCGTCGATGAGTGGTGCATTTATAGCCTCGTTTGCGAGTTCTACAATTCGCTCTCTCAAAGCCCGGCCTTCCTCCACGCGCAAGTCTTTGGAGTCTTCTTCGCCCACAATCGGGTCGTCAGGAAACGCTCGAGCCAGCATCGAGCTGATCAACGCCTGTGCTGCGTAGTCGCCCACAGTCACAGGCGATTTGTCGCCTTTCGTTAGAGTTTCATTCTTGACAAGCTTATTGAAGACGGAGTCTGTGAGGGCACAGGCCCTGCGGACAGCAGAGATAGCAAGCTGCCGTTCACGAGCGAATGGCCGCGCCATGGACGTGAATCGGCTGAGGAGGGACATGCACGTGACCGATCAATGGCTTAAGTAACGCCCGTGACAAGAAATTTTAATGCTACTTGCACTTGGATGCTCCCGTCGTCTTGCCAGACCACCGCCTCGACGATGGGCATCCTCTGCGGCAGCGCCTTCTCGAGCTGTACCGTCATTCTTCAATCGCAAACGCGGTGAAGATGAAGATGATGAGGAGGCATCCGAGAAAGCTAAGGCTGGGGATGGGAGCATAACTTTCCCCCAGTTCCTCATCAAATTCGACAAGTTTCGTCTCGCGTCGCCGCGAAACTGGCTTGCCGAGACAGAGAACGAAGAGGGACAGCGCACTTCATTCGTATGTTTTTTTTGTCGTCGTGTCACTATGGGTTTGCGCTGACGTCGTCGAAAGCCATTCCCCATGAACCCGTCCTTCAAACCTCCACCACCCATATCTGATCAGGTTCGAAGCTACATCTACGAGCTATATATCGACAACCCCGAGACCAACAACATACGGGTTCTCTCGCAACGGTTCCACATCAGCCTCAAGCGTGTCGAGGCAATACTACGCCTCAAAGGACTCGAGGCCGCTCATGTCAAGGTTCGTGCCCGTTCTCTGTTCCTCTTGGCCTTCGTGCCATATGATGAGCCTATAAAAATCGATTAGTCTTTAAGACACCTACATGGTTACGAAAATTTCAGCTTTACCATCTGAATCCCGTCTTCGACTCTATATATTTCGTCTCAAACTTTCGCTGACCCTCCCTTCTTTCTAGGTATATAATGCTTGTCTTTTTCCCTAACATGCCACTGATTGGTGTGTTTTTCCAAATAGGATGTGAGTGTTTACCCTCATCCCTCTCTATGATGATACAAACCTATCATTCGCGAATTGAAAGACGCTTTGGCGCCCTTACATCGCTAAGCCTTGGTTAAAACGATTTCAACCCCATCTGAACTGCACCTTCCATAACTATCGCGGTTCAAGATACTGACCAACGTGTTCAGGGCAAACCTTTGCAAACAGGATTTCAATGGGGTATGGAGAAGCTTCTAGGCGTCAAGACACCCGGGGCCAACTACTTCCTCAGTGAAACGCCGGCCACACTAGCCGATGAGGGAATGCCAGAGCGCGTTGACGTGGACAAGGCGGATATGTTGGAGCAGTTGGAGAATCGTGACGCAGCCAGACAGCGCTTCCAGCGACAATACTGGGAATCTGTGGTTGACGACGGACGGGCAAGTCTTTCCCTCTCTATCTCTGGCTGCAACATATTGGTAACGCACGACAGGCCCCTCTCCTACCCGCTTCCTTGGAGCATTCGCGCCAGCTCGCGATCCGCTCTGCCGAGCGTGCCCTGAAGGACAAGTCGAATCCCCGCCTCATGCCCCGCTTCCCGGACACGCCAACGATCAAGTCACCGCGCGCCAAGGTGCAGATTATCGAGAAGGAGGGCAAGCTACCGGTGCATTTCGTGGATGTTGGTGGTCGGTTTATCGAGGTGCACGAGCGGGAGAGACGGATGGTGGCGTCTCGCCGGAGAAGGGCTCTGAATGCGAAGGAGTCGAGCGAGAAGGTCCTGCAAGGCTGGATAAAAGCGAGAACGCGGCATGAGAGGGCCAGACGCCATGCGGTGAAGAAGAAGGCGGCTCAAGAGAAGCCGCAGACCACGGTATAATATGCTCCCAATTGGTACAATTAAGTAATGGACGATTTGGTTCGTGAGTGCATACTGGTCGGTGATGATGGGGTTTGCTTATCTGATGCTGGCCAAAATCACGTGTTTGATTGTCAGGTTGCTGATAAAATGATGTCACAGTGCCAGTCACGGACACGTTCTTTCCCAAACCCTTGCAAACCAATTGCAAACCACCGTATTCCTTTGCCGCAGCGACGGTGGGGAATCGACCGACACTCAGGCTCCCTTGTTTCGGCGTGAACATTGTGCAGCTCGGACATGACCGGATCTCAGGAATCAGCGGCACCGCCGGCACCCATACCCGAGATCTTCCTGGCCGCGCCATTGCTTAGACCTTCAAGCCCGAGTTTTCGACAATCGCGCAAGCCTGCCCAGTGCCCACCCTCAACGTGCTCCTACAGCTCTTCTGTACGCGCGGACATGATCGTCCACCCGCCGCGTGCTCGGCGGCCGGCCGAAACCCGCTGCCGGCGATCTCGGGGGACGGTGCCCAGCAAGATTCCAGTTATTGCGATAGCGCAGACTTTTCTGCTCGACAGACTGCTCGCGCTAGCCGACCCGTCCTCAAGCACGTGCTTCCCGCGATGGACCCACAGCCGCCTCTTTGCACTGGCAGTCTCGTAGCTTGCTTGGTCCACTGGAACGGGGGGATCTCGCCGTCAGGCACAGCGGCGAAGCCCACTGCCCAACCAACCAAAGCCCCCGCTATCTGAGGCATCGTGCCATATGCACCCAATGCGAATTATCAGTCCTTCCTCCTTCTTCTCGTCATCATGGCCCATAACACGGTCAATTCCACATGGACGCAGACCGCAGCAGCACGTCCCGCGAACCGCTGCTCAGTCAGCTTTCTCGGATTGCTTCACTCGTCGCTTTATAAAGGCAGGCTGTTGAGAAGATAATGGTCACCCGTTGGTCTCTTTCCCTCTTCGCAGCCGACTATGATCGCCCTGAAAGCCGTCGTTCTCGCACTCAGTGCTGTCTCCGCTCTTGGTCACCAGCTCGCGTCTCGCCAGCCCAAGTGAGACGATTTTTTTTTGGTTTTTATCTCGTTGTTACTCACGTGCGCCCAGGCGTGGCTGCGCGACCGAAATCTCCGCTGCGCAGAAGGACGCTGTCGAGGCGGACTTTGCCGCACGCCGTACGGGGCTCCCTGCAAAGAAGGCTGCTCCCGTGACCATCCCGACCTACTTCCACATCATTCGCGCCGAGGAGACGGTTGACCGTGGCGACATTCCGTGCGTGGAGTAGTTTTTTCTTCTGATTGATACTTACTCCCTCTGTCAGTGAATCGCAGGTGATTGCCCAGATGGACGCCCTCAATGCCGCTTTTGTCAACACACCGTATACGTTCGAGCTGAAGGAGACGACCCGCACGACAAATGAGACCTGGTTTGACGTTGCCTCGCCCTGGGGCGACGATGCTGTCTACCAGGACGACATGAAGGCCACCCTTCGCCGGGGCGGCCGGGAGTCGCTCAACTTGTACTCGCTCGGGTTCACTGACGTCAGCGATGGCCTGCTCGGCTACAGCACTTTCGCGTCGAGCTACGAGAGCAACCCCCAAGATGACGGGGTCGTGTTCCTCTACAGCACCGTCCCTGGCGGCAGCAGGGCGATTTACAACCTTGGCGGCACGGTATCGCACGAAGTGAGACTTGATATCTCCCTTTTCTTTGGTTGTTCAACATTCTCTGCCAGGTCGGGCACTGGGTCGGCCTCTACCACACGTTCAACGAGGGAGACGGCGGAGAGGAGTGGGACACATGCGACGTCTCAACTGACCTAGGTGAGTCTGCTTGAAATAAAATGCAGCTCAAAGCCCAACTCTGCCGCAGTCGACGACACCCCGGCCCAGCTTTATCCGACCAACGGCTGCCCCGAGCGGTCAGACACGTGCCCCGACGTCCCCGGGGACGACGCGATCCACAACTACATGGACTACAGCGACGACGTCTGCTACAACAACTTCACCCCCGGCCAGGTCGAGCGCATGATCGCGCAGATGGCCATTTACCGCGGGCTCTAGGCAGTGGTGGAGACCAGGGGGCATTTTGGATAAGTAGCTGGATGTTGTATGTAGTTTTATTTATCTGGTGCTAACACACAACAACGTTCGCCTTGTGATGCTCGCAGGGCCGTGAATGTGCATCAGATTGTGGCTCCCTGGACTGTGCAGTTGTGGACAATTGAAGGCTGAGAACTTTGTCAATATTATAATGTACTAGTAGGAATGAAGAACTAATTTTGCAGTTGAAAAGAGGGATTTTTCGCTGCCAGAAACTATCTGAAAACTTTGAGAATTATATACTTTGAGATTGTTTTTTTGCAGCACCCTAGCCAAACACGGTCGCCAACCTTAAACTCCGGAGACGGAGTCCGTCTCCGGTCGTAGTAGCGCTTGTACTCCTCTTTGGCCTTAGTGAGCGCGGCCTTGGCTTCGGCAACACCAGTGGCAATCCGGTCGCGGAACTCGTTCACGGACTCCATAGCGGAACGGACTCCGGGTTCGAAGCCCATGCGCGGGAGTCGTCCCGTGTCCGTCATGAAGGGGACTTGTTGCGTGGAGGAGTGAACGTGATTGTTGTAGGCGAACTCCGCGGCCGGAATCAGCTCATCCCAGTCGTCCTGCTGATAGTTGGTAAAGATCCGCAGGTACTGCTCCAGCTCCTGGTTGACGCGCTCTGTTTGACCGTCTGTCTGCGGGTGGTACGCGGTGGACGTGGCAGGCTTGATGCCGATTAGACGCCAGAGTTCTCGGGTGAAGTCCGTGATGAACTGCGAGCCGCGGTCGGAGACGTACTTCTCCGGAGTCCCATGGTGCCGCCAGACATTCCGGTAGTAGAGGCGGGCTGCCCCTACTGCATCGACCGTCGTATGACACTCCGAGAAGTAGGCACGCTTCCCAAGGGTGTCGACGACGACCATGATCGCGTCGTACCCATGGGCCTCCGGAAGCTCGACGATGAAGTTGACGGAGACGGTATGCCAACGCTCTGGGGGCGTTTCCGTCGGGTGCAGCTCTCCGTGGCGCAGTCTCCGGAGTGCTTTGGTGCGACAGCACAAGTCACAGGTCGCGACGCACCGGCCAATATGGCGAGACATCTGAGGCCACCAGTAGTTCTGGGAGACCAACTCCAAGGTCTTGAAGCGACCAGCGTGTCCGGCAACTCGAGTGTCGTGGCAGAGCCTCGATGATGCGTCTCCGGAGGTCCTTATCCTTAGGTACGACAATCTTCCCACGAAAGTGAAGAAGACCACCGAAGACAGCCCACTCGTCAGAGCGCGAGGAGCGGGGGCCTCGAGCTTGACCTTGGACCTTTAGAAGTTGCCGGGCCGCTAGTGCGACGGGCTCCTCTAAGTCAGGCTCACCGGAGAGGGCATCGCGGATGTCGCAAAGGAGTTCAGAACCAGGGCCGGAAACGGAAACACCTTCGAGAGCGCGGACATGGAAGAGTTCGGGCCGCAGAAGGACGACGCCGGAGTTGTCGGAATCGATTCCGTGGTCGGGTCTCCGAGAGAGGGGCGTCAGGTCGGCCCATGTCGCGGCCGGGCTTGTGGTGCAGCGTGAAGTCGAACCGGGAGAGGTAAAGGGACCAGCGGGCCTGTCTCCGGTTGAGGTGCTGCGTCTTCCTGAAGTACTCCAGATTCTTATGGTCAGTCCAAATCTCGACGGGATGCGCGGCGCCCTCGAGGAAGTGTCTATACTCCTCGAGTGCGCGGATGATCGCCAGCATCTCCTTGTCGTGGATTTCGTGAGTTGCGCTGGACATCATTTAAGCTTTTGGAATAGAATGCTACAGGGTGCCACTTCCCGTCCGGGGCGGATTGTGAAAGAACCGCCCCGTCGCATAATCAGAGCTGTCCGCCTCGAGTCGGAAAGGCCGTGCGTCGTCCGGAATCGCCAGGACCGGTTCCGAGGTGACTGCGTCCTTGATTGCTTGGAACGCGGAGGCCTCCGCGTCGCCCCAAGTCCATTGCTGGTCCTTCTTGGTGAGCACGAAAAGAGGGCGCGCAAGGGTCGAGAAGTCCCAAATGAACCTGCAGTAGAAATTAGCGAACCCAAGGAACTGCTGAATGTCCTTCTTGTTTTCCGGAGTCGGCCAAGCGGAGACGCCTGCGACCTTGACGGGGTCCATTTCGACGTGGTTGTGGGAGATGATGACTCCGAGGTACTCGATTGACGATTTTTCAAAGTCGCACTTCTCCGCTCGGAGGTACAACTTGTGCTCTCGGAGTCGCCGTAAGACCTCCTGAACGATCTGCCGGTGTTTCCGGAGGTCGGAATGGGCGATCAGGATGTCGTCAAGGTAGATCATGACGTCTCCGGAGAGGATAAGGTCCTGGAAAATGTCATTCATCATCGTTTGGAACGTCGCGGGAGAGTTTGTCAGGCCGAAATACATCACCAAGGGCTCAAACAGGCCTCGGTTAGTCCGGAAAGCCGCTTTCCACTCGTCACCTTCCTTGATCCGGACGTTGTTGAAGCCCCAACGGACGTCGAGTTTGGTGAAGTAACGAGCGCCTTTGAGCCGGTTGATGAGGTTGTTGATCAGCGGAAGGGGGTACCGGTTTTTGACAGTCATCCGTTGAGAGCACGGTAGTCCTGGACGAAGCGGAGTCCGCCGTCCTTCTTCTTGACAAAGAAGACCGGAGACGCCATCGGAGACTTGGGGGGCGAATCCGGCCCGTCGAAAGCCCTTCCTCGATGAACGCGTCGAGCTCGCGTTGCTCGAGGGGCGAGATGGGGTACACCTTGCAGTTGGTGGGCTTAGCGTCGGGGACGAGTTCAATGGCGTGGTCCCAGGCTCTCCGCTCCGGTAGCGTGTCGAAGGACTCCTTGTTGAAGACGTCCTGAAACTCCTTAGCCCAGTCCGGGATCTCAGAGGGCGGAGGGGCGGAGTTTCTGGCGAAGGCTTCGGCCAGGCGCTGTGAGACAGTACTGCCAGCGCGTATCTCCTCCGAGGGGCGGAACGAGGTGTAGAAGATGCGGTCACCATCTTCAAGCTGACCATCGTCTTCATCGTCGTCGGAGTCCGGCATCAGATCAGGCAGGGCGGAGTCGTCACCGGAGACGGAATCGTCTCCGTCGTCAGGCCCAGAGAGGTCCATGGCGCAGACCGAGGGGAACGGGCCGGAGCGGAGTCGCTTCTGGAGCAGCCGGAGTCGCCGTAGCTCAGTCCGTTCAACGCGTTCTTCCTCGCGGCAAGTGGAGCAACCGCGGGGGCACCGTGTCATCTTGACCTCCTTGGTTTCCCAATTGATTTCCGGGTTATGCTTCCGCAGCCAGGAGTACCCCAGAATGAGGTCTTGTTTACCAAGATGAGTGACGGCGAGTTGAACACGCTCGGAATGGCCTTTGTAGCGTAAGACCAAGTCCGCGATCTGGTTGATGGAGCCGGCATCGTTCGGAGTGCCATCAACGTTAAAGACCGGAATCGGTTGCGCCAGGGTGCGGACCGGAATGCCATTCCGAGCGACATAGTTCGTGTCGATAAAGTCGGAGGTGGCACCACAGTCAACCAGGCCAGAGAGCGAGAGCTTAAGCGCTGGTAGTGGACTCTAGCTCCAACGGGAGGTGGAGGGAGTTCACTCCAGGGGAAGCAGCGACAGTGTACTGCTTGGGCAATTTCTTTTCCCAGGCAGTGAGGCGGCGAAGGACGATGACCGGAGTCGCGGGCGGAGTCGGAGACGGAGTCGAAACGGAGGCGGGGGGAGGGTATGTCTTTTGTTTCAGGCTCGTGTAGGGCAAAGGAATTGATTCGTCATACAAACAAGCGAAACGATTTACGGACGCGAACGAGGGCACACCAGTCACTCGTCGCGGGGACAAAATCCTCTCCGGCCATCGACTCCGCTGGCTGTTTCCGGCAGCGCAGCTGTGTCCGAGTAGCGGGCGATCAACTCCGCTAACATCTCGTCACCGAGTTGTTGGATCACCTCGTCGAGGATGTCCATTGAGCAGACATCCAGGGGAGGGGGCAATCTCGGGCGAGATGGTTTGGGTCGCCGCACCTGAAGCAGGCGCGACGAGGGGCACCCCGAGCCCTAGTGCGATCCAACTCCATGGGGACGGGAGCTGGAGGCGCCGGAGCGGGGGGCGCGGGCCGCGGGTGGCACGACCGGAGCCACCGGGCGGAAGGGAGCCAGAGCCGGGACGCGGTTGACCGGAAACGGAGTCCGAATCAAACCGCCAGGCGTCTTGGGGGGGGCTGACTTGATCAGCTTGGCCCGGACCAGGGCCTCGTATTGACGGAAGGCCCGGGTGCGCCAGCTAAGATAGTCCCGGAGGTCCGGGGGGTCATTCGAGGACGTGATTCCGTTGTTGATCAGGGGATCAAGTCCGTGGCGGAACTTGGTCACCTTGACCAACGCGTCTTCGAATCCGGCGAGGTCCATCAGGTCCTCGAAGTCGTCGGTGTACTGGTAGACATCCTTGGTGCCCATGTGATAGGCGGAAGTCTCCAGTTTGGAGAGAGCGTGATCTTGCTCATTCTCCTCGACGAACCGGAGTCGAAACTCGGAAACGAACGAGCCCCAGGACGGAAACGGAAACGGGGCTTTGCTTCCGTGGCGCTCCGCCCATTGCTGAGCAGGTCCTTCTGCCATAAACGACATGGCATAGCGGACGGCCTTTTCCTCGCTCGCCTCTCCATTGACCACGAAGGCCTCAGGGGCAAGGCGGGCGTAGGTGCGGACCGCGTAGAGGAACGCGCGGCCGCGTTTCCGATCGCCGTTAAAGGTGAACGGGGGGTTTGGTCGCAAGACCAATTTTGAGGCGAGGTTGATATCGCCAAAAAGGGCTTCGGAGTCGCCCTGGACCGGAGTCGGAGTCGGAATCGACGTCTCCGGCGATGGTGTTTGGGGTCCGCCAGCATTATTAGCGGCGGCAGCGGCAGCGGAAGCCTGGTTGGTGAGTAAGGCAAGGGCCTCAGTTAGGCGGTCGATTTTCGCCTCGAGTGCATCCAGCCGAGTGTCAGCGTCAGGAGTAGCTCCGGAAGGCATGACAGGTGCGGGGACGACAGGAGTGGCAGAGGAGGAGGGGACAAGTGGCAGGGGCGGTGGCGAGGGCGGAGTGGACTCGGACTCCGAGCCTGAGTCAGCGCCGAACCTGGCAATCTTGTCCGGTTGATCCCGTAGAGAGTTTCTTCTGCTGTAAGGGCAACCCCGGAGGCCTGAGATCAAGGTCCTAGCAGGGGAGGATCCAAAGAGTGAATAGAAGTAAGCAAATACAAGTGAGGCTGACCTAGCAGGGGAGGATCCAAAGAGAAGAAACTCTAAGGGTCCGCCTGCTAGGTAGCGGAACTATATACTGCGCTCTTGACGCGCCAAGGTTGATCGTTGCTCCGTGCAGTATGCCTGCGCCATGTCGCAGGCCAGGTCCCAGGGGGATCGCCAGGTGGGGGGCGGCGATGCGCCTGGCGGATGCGGTGATGCGATCGCCGGAGTCGGAACCGGAGTCGGACCGGAATCGGAGTCGTCTCCGAGGGGCCGAAAGGGAGGTTCCCCTGACAGGGAGAGCTTGCTTCCCCCTATTCCCATGTCACTAACACTCTTAATTTGTGATGAGGTAGACTTGCACTGACAAAGTGATTTGTCAGCAACTTGTAAGGGCAACCCTAGAGACTCCGATGAAAGCCTAGCAGGGGAGGATCCAAAGTGTGAATAAAAGCTACAGGAAATACATGGAGGGACCAACCTAGCAGGGGAGGATCCAAAGAGAAGAAACTCTAAGGGTCTGCCTGCTAGGGTGCCAACTATATACTGGTTGTCTGTAACTGCCGACGTAGAGCGCAGAAGGCCTGAGCGGTGTCGCAGGCTCTGTCCCAAGGTGATCATTGGGAGGGTTTTGATGGATTGGTGATTGTGCGGGCGAAGGAGGCTGAGGCTGAGAGTCGGGGTGGGTCAGAGCATCAGAGAGGGTGCCAGTCGGATGTGCCTTGGCACCTTGTTTTGCACTTAGTTACAGTGCCGGCTGGGGTTTTCCACCTCAGACCCCATGCTGCTACTCGCCATGTAAGAGGACCCGGGAAGCTCTACCAAAGGGTGATTCAAAAAATTTCCAGATTTTGGCCTCAAAAACCCATTTTTTTGAGCCCCCAAAACCCATTTTTGAAGAAGGATCGTGACATGTCACTGTGTGACACTTGCTAAAAATGGTAATTTTTGCAGGTGTCAAAAAGTGTCTTGCGCCGCTTTTACCTTTGAACTAACACTCTTTGGGGTGATTTTCCTCTCAAAAGGCATCTGGTACTCGGTGGTGCACAGGCCAGTCTAAAACTTTCCTGCGAACCTCCCCAAGGCCTGAAAAACCCATATTTTGAAGAAGGTTTTCAGAATTTTTGTCTCAAAAACCCATTTTTTGGACAAGGAAATCGCGATTTTTGGGCCTCAAAAACCCAAATTTTTGAATCACCCTTTGGTGGAGCTTCCCGGGTCCTCATGTAAGCCCGCTGTGTGGAGCCGTTCCCCCATCTTTTTTCGCTTGGCTGTCACATGTCCGGGTCGATCTCGGAGAATGGGAGTGTCGTCTTGCTGTATCAACAGCTTCAAGTGTCGGACTTGGGTGCACTTCTGGCAATCAATTCCCAAACCTAGTAGGTGTCTTAGGTGAGTGCAAGGTGTGTCAGGGTGTCGTGAGTGTCGAAGATGAACTAACCTAGTGGCCCATGCCAGAGAGGATGGGCCAGGTCTTACCCATGACAGAAATTATGTATTTCAGATCCCCCAAATCTGAATCTGAGCTTAGGATTCTTATAGCAGTGATGGTTGGATCACAAATCAAAGTTTATTCACTTATCAGCTGTGATTCTCTAAAGCTGTACATTCTGCGATGGTTTACTCACCACATAGTGTCTTGGGAAGGGACAGGGAAGTTGTGAATGCTGTAAGTAATGGACAATAATACTTAGGGTGTTGCATGATATATAATACAAATGTGTGGATGTGTATGTGTGTATGTCAGGAGCATTGCGTTGAACAGATTAAAGGATGGCCTGTAGCCTATAAAATTAGGTGTGATTCTTGTAGATGGAATCGCATAAGCATGTCCTTGACTAGAAGAAAATATGAGCAGATTCAAAGACCACCCGGAAGCACTCACTCCCAGCGAGGACATACTTCGTCGACTTGGTGTCCTGAACCAGGATCGTCAGCGGAATCCTACGAACAGGAAATGACATACGATGGCATTAGTAAGATGACAGTAGAAGATTCTCGGAGCGGGTGAGTTTTGTTTGAGGATAGCATCTGTGGGTGGGGTCAGCATAGAACTGGGGGTCCTTGCGGCCATACTAAATTGTTTCTTTAAATCTGCAAAGGATCAGATGTGGCTACAGCAAGATGGCGAGCACGCACATCGCGAAGCACTGTCAAAGTCATTCGGCCGCCGCCCATACGAGTCGACAAAGTCCGCCAAGCGGATGCCCGAGGCCAATTTGGCGTGCATGATGTCGATCTTGTTGAGGAACAGGATGACGTTCGTCTTCTGGAGCAGCTTGCTGGCGACGATCGTCGTCCACAGCTTGTACGAGTCCGCCTAGCCAGGGATCAGAGCGGCGCAATGGACCCAACAAGACATACCAGACGGTTGACAGTTGGATCCTCCGTCAACACTTGATCGAACGCCGAAATCGGCGCGAGGAATATGATAGCGTCCATGTCATCGAAGTAGCTCACCCATGCTGCTCGCTGGTTATTGCAAGTCAGAGCGAGTGGATCAGCGGGAAACAAAGCACGCACCAATGAGCGCGTTCCGCCAACATCAAATATTCGAAAATCGCGGCTCATCCCACCAGCTACAAGTCGTCAATGTTGCTCAAAAGAAAAGGAACTGGCGCACTGGGGTCGGAAAGCCGCATCCGATGCTCAGACACACCCTGCGGATAAATAAAACTCCGCTCGCGGGGACAAGAAACTGCGCACCAAGGTTTTTAACCGAGCCCTCAAAATGTGATCTGTCAAAGTGTCAATTAATGTTGGGCGCACAAGGTGCTTGACCGACCATCGGTAGGAATATATCGCAATGAGGTGACTGCGTCTATCGAGTCAAGGAAGCTGCCAGAATGTGTGAGCGAGGAGATGGACAGAATCGCCAACACGCACAAGCCCGCACTTTCTTGTAGCCTGATGCACTGTTTGTCGAGGATGGCTTGAACTGTAGGGTGCTCCCATAGCCGCTTCAGGTCGTCTCGACATGAATGTAAGACCACGCCAGGGTCATCAGGGTCATCCCAGTCGATCATATTGTCGCCGTCGTTACTTGTCGCAGCCCCGTTTCGGCGAAAGGCACCCTGCCATGCGACAGAAGAGTTGACCGCAATCTCTTTGGGTTGGTGCCGCCGTGATAAAGATGTCATTGGGCGCTCGGTCGGCTCGACTTCTCCGGGGACGGATAAACGCTTCATGAGCAGTTTTTCTACGTCAAGAAGAGACACAAGGCGCATCTTGAGGGCTAGTAGCTCTGCATCGATCCGAAACGAGTCTTGCGATGATATGCTGGAACGCTCGCTTGGAGGTCGGTCATGGGGGTTTTGAGCACGGGTAATCGCGTCAAGGACAATATGGACGGATCGGACAACGTTAAGCTGTATTATAGCCCGCCATGAGCCCCGTTCCGCCCGGAAAGCCTAGTTTAGGTTGAGTGTTTTGTAAAAGGTGGCGAGGTAGAAGGACCTTGGGCTCATATAGCAGCTGGAAGTCTAGAGAGAGTTAAACGACAATGTCTCGAGCCCAGTGGACGATTAACGCACTCTTCAATGTTGTAGACTTCCCTAAGCCAGACAATCCAGTCAGATCCATACGCTGGGAAGCTTAGAATCGCCACAACGAACCTGATTCACTTTGACCTAGCACCGGAATGAGTATGATTTGGGAGGCACACAACACCAGCACGCACCTAGGAGGAGGATTTTGACCGGCTTTGGACGTTTCTTCTCGTATGCTTGTTCTTTTGAGAGTTCGGCGTCAATGGCATCGGAAACTTGCTTTGCCGCCCGTTCCTTTTGCATTCGGACTTCGCGGTCTTCTGGAGTCTCGTTCTGGGGAGGCGCAATTGCGTTTGCGAAGGGGTCGATGTCCTCCATCGGCCGTCGTGCTACTCTGGTTGGCATAAGAGCAGCACGGCACGAGGTGGTTGTGGTTGAAGAGGAGAGGTATAGACTTTTGACTTGACAAGCTTGACATCCTATCACTGACGAAATGATTGGATGCCACAATCCTTGTTCCCGCCCTTCATGTGGGGTCGATTGAGATCCAGAGAGTCAACGATTCCCTCATTCTCGTCGGCCTTACTGTTAACGAAATCGCGATAGAAGCTCTTGGCACAATTTAGACGTCTCACGGCCAATAGTGCTGTCCAATGACGAACCTAGCAAACCACCACCGAACCAACTCGACAAGGCTATGGCGGCGATGAACACCGAAAGGATCAGAGGTGTCGGTGGAGGGATCACCACTGGGTACGCTTCGTTGTCATAATTTGGGCCATCAGCCAGCTTTTTCGCAAGACACCCAGTTTCCCTCCAAGCACTTCCACATTCTGCTCTCAACACGCGACAACCCTCGATTGGACCAAGGCCCGGCATCTTTTACTACTTTCTGGACAGTTTCCACAATCACCGTCAAGCGACCTCCTCGACCATGTAGCATTCACAGTACATTCATCTGGAAACTACTCCCGCGTCAAGTAATATGGATACCTACCAGTGCGGAGCCAGAACGATCGCACCGTCTCTTCAAAGCAAAATAAGTGAACTGTAATGTGTTCCCTCCAGCTCGAATCTCGCCTGATACCTCTCAATGTCTTGGAAGCTTTGTAAACTACCCCGCTGGTTCCACTGGCTCGTTCCACACCTCAACACCCAAAAATAAAAACACCGCGATGCTAGCAGGACCGCACCTTAGCATTCGTCCGAGTCATGTCATCACACTCACCGAAGAAGAACCTCTGCCAAAGAAATCGTTCCGATCACCAACACTATCTTCCTTACCACTCCCCAACTTCTATCTAAACGAACAAATGGACTTGATACGTCTTTATTCGACGACGAATCGAAACTACCACTACTCAATTAGTGCGGAGGTGGGAAAGGTCGAGCTAGCACTGTTGCTCTTTGCATATGGCTTCCGCGTCAGACTCAGCAGCTCACCATTGACAAATGCAACCAGCCCCGAAACTTATTTACTGTCGCCCAATATCGTATTATATACTCTTTTGCGTACCTTAATGGTGAAAGGCCAAAGATACTTTCCTGTATGATAGTATCTCACCGCTTTCTTCCAAACTCGGCAACGTTAGCACGATGTTAGCCAGTTCTCATTACCGTGGGAAGGACTCGGACGCGCTAGATCCCCGAGTCACGGTGACCTTGACAATTCACTCTCCACCATGTTCTGACTCAGAAGTTGTCGTCTCTCCGCTCTGGGGAGACAACGGGTATTTCAAGTCGGGAAACCGAGTGGATATTCTACCCTTGTTTCTGTCCTCCATATGGCGTCGATTGAGATCCAGAAAGTCAACGGTTCTCTCATCCTCGCTGGTCCCACTGTTGACAAAATTGCAACCGAAGCTCTCGGCGCAACGTCCCCCGACGCATTCATCATAGAAGTGTTGTCCAGTGATGAACTGAGCAAAATACCGCTGAACCAACTCCACCAGGCCACTACGACAATGAACACCACAAAGATTATGGGTCTCGGTGTTGGAGGAGATGATTCTGGAGTACGCTTCGTTGTCATCATTTGGGCCACCGGCCAGCTTTTCCGCAAGGCACTCGGTTTCCCTCCCAAACATTTCCACATCCTGCTCTCGGGACGCGACGATCCCCGATTGGACAAAGGCCCAGCTTCCTTGCTTCCTGGACAGTTTCCGCAATCACCGTCAAGCGACCTCCTCGACCATCTAGCATTCACAGTACATTCATTTGGGGACTACTCCCGCGCCAAGTCGTATGGCTCAGACCTGGTCAGTGCGGACCCGGAGTCCCATCGTGGATTTCTTAGGCTTGCAGACGCGTCGCTGGCACTTGATGAGTATAAACTCGCAATGTTGTCGTTTGCTTGCGTATTAGAGCGCTCCAACGACACTCGCGTGGAGGAATACTGTCTCAAAAAGTTACTTGAATGTGCGCAACACACCGAGTGGGGCTCTGTCATGCGAGAGGCCGAGCTACCGCAGATTCCGGATCAGCTTTCTGTCCTTCTCCTTGCGCCATGGTCAGCCTCTCTTCGAAGTAGAATAACTGAACTGGAATTTGTCCCGACCCTCCAGCTCGAATCTCGCCTCCCACTATACCTCCCAGCCTCTCGGAAGCCTTTCAAACTACCCCGCTGGTTCCGCTGGCTAGTTCCATACCATCTCGCAATCATGTCAACCCCCAAGAACGAAGAGGACATCGCGATGCTTGCGGGACCGCACCTTGGCATTCGTCATGTCCTCACGCTCACCGAAGAAGAACCGTTGCCAAAGAAATGGTTCCATGGGAAGCCGATCACCAACACTTTCTTGCCAATCCCAAACTTCTATCCGCCATCGCTCGAACAAATGGACTTGATATTGTCTCTATTCGACGACGAATCGAAACTACCCCTGCTCGTTCATTGCGGGGGTGGGAAAGGTCGAGCGGGCACTGTTGCTGCTTGCTACCTCGCTGCATATGGTTTCCGTCGACCGTCAGGAGCCCACCAAACACAACCAGCGATGTCAGCGCCTGATGCAATAGCCAGTCTCCGTCTCCTTCGTCCCGGCAGTCTCGAAACCTCCCGCCAAGAAGCTTTTGTTTCTGCCTGGTGCAGTGCTATATGGAAACGCCAATCTGTCCGTATAGATCTTCCCGTGGAACCACCGTCATCGCCTATTGAAATCGAGGGCGTGCTTGAGCTGTCCAATATTGACTTGCTTGTCCTTGTCGGTCTACCAGGCTCTGGGAAATCATGGTTTTCGCAGGCGTTGATCGCACGTGACCCCAAAGCATGGCGACGTATCTCTCAGGATGAGGCAGGCAGTCGGGCATCTTGTGAGAGTGAGATCGGGCTTAAGGGTGTGGAAGCAAAAACGTTACTGGATCGATGTAATGCCGCTGCAACGGATCGTAAAGGCTGGTTGCAGTTGGCTGCCAACTGGGCAACCGCTCCAGTTTGCGTCTGGTTTGACGTATGTTGTGCAAACTCTTGTGTTTTCCTGCTGATTTGGAGTTCAGTATGACAAGGCATTATGCGAGTCTCGGGCTCAAATGCGTGCTGGGCACCCTACACTTCCTCCGGGAAGTCGCGTCCGCAATGCTGTCACCCAAATGCACGATATCTTCGTTCGCCCAACCTTGCAAGAAGGTTTCAAAGCCGTCATTCATATCAAGTCGTTTTCGGCAGCCGAAGAGCTTGTCGGACGTCTTTCCCCACCTGTTGGGGTCTGCAAATTTCCTCGAACGACTCATCTCATCAATCTTGGCGCGGCCACAGCAGACGACGAGGTGCTTCCCAGCTATGCGCCCTCTTCCAACACAGCACACGTCGTAATCACCGAAAAGGTTGACGGCGCCAACATGGGCTTCTGGTTGGACCCGAGCACAAAGCAGCTCCGCATCCAAAATCGCTCCCATTTCGTAAATCCAATGTCGCATGCCCAGTTCAAGCCGCTGGGAAAGTGGATTGCAGACCACGAAGCAGAACTAGTGCAGCTACTGAATCGGGACCCGCACTTTGCCAGCAGGTATATCTTGTACGGCGAGTGGCTTGCGGCAACACATTCGATCGCGTATGCTCGTCTGCCTGACCGCTTTCTGGCATTTGACTTTTATGACCGGAGTACGGGCCGGTGGGCCGACCGACGGACTCTCGAAGGGTTGCTGAGTCTGACATCGATTCAGATGGTGCCAATAATATATCAAGGTCCACCAGTAAGTGAGACCGAGCTGAAGGCAATGGTTCAGCTACCCTCGCGCTATTATGACGGACGAGTGGAAGGCGTGTATGTCAAGGAGGAGAGTTTAGATGATGCCATAGTTTTGCGGAGAGGCAAGGTTGTGCGGGCTGACTTCATTGCGGGGAATGAGCACTGGACCAAGGGCATCTTACGCTTCAATGAGCTTGCCCTTGAAGGTTAGATCTCGCGAGCCAGTAGGCCCCGCGCTCACTTTCTCCTTGTTATGTAATGGGTCGATGCCATCGATCGGATCAATCGGACACTGTTAGTAACTCCCGCCAAGCCAGCCAAAATGTTGGCATTCACGGACCCTTCAGCACTGGTTGTTCCCAATCGCCCCTTGAACCACCCCAACGACGAGTCCATCGACTGACTATCTTCTCCTCAACCCATATCATGGTTGAACTTGACACGGATGTCTTTGCCGCCATTCTAACATACATCCACGACACTCCAACGCTATACGCACTCTTTGAAGTATTCCCCAAGTCCCACCCACTGCTTCTCGTCACTTTGGATCGCCTGTGGCAGTTGCCAGTCAATCTCGACTCTTTCGATACACAAGCGACAGAAGCGTCGAATGCTGTCCTGGACAACCTACTCACGGCCCCTGTTGGAGAATCAGAGCCGCTCGCTCGCCATCTCCGCCATCTTATTGTCCATCTCGAGCATACTTCTCTGGAGAGCCGCACCCCGTCGGATCCGCCCGCCGATGTTCTGGCGCTGCGAAGCAGGATTGCGGACCTCCTCGGTTTGACGAGTAACTTGCGCTCGTTTGACTATCGTGGTTTCCCGGGATTGCGACTCGACTCGACTATTCTGGGGCCGCTGGGAGGATTGGGACGACTTGAGCGATTTGGCGTCGATTGTGGGCGGTGCAGCAGCTCTCTGGGGGTTCCGGCTGCTTGCCGGAGTCCTTCAGAACCGGGAGGACTGAGCGCACGTTTTGACGCAGAAAATTGGGAGTGAGTCCTACCTGCGCGCTGAAACTTATTACTATTTCTTATGCGTGTTCACATAGTATTGATACTTTCACAACCACAATCGGCCCGCGCCTTTCTGCTTTGGAACTCAGACACATCAATTTCACGATGTTTGCGGTCCTCAAGAGCAAGATAGCCGAGTTCAAAACGTATACGCAGTTGCGCGAGCTTACACTGGACATCACTGAAGGGGTCTGGGATTGGGACGGCGGTGGCTCGCCGGCCATGGGGGCATCTTCAGAGTTCGAATTTCCTTTTCTCGGGTTCCCCGCCGTTCGTCGCTTAGAGCTGGTCGTGTGCGACAAAACGCTGTATGCTTCTCAAGTGGGGCCATTGAACATGGTCGATCGCACTCTGTTGGAAGAATTGTGCCTGGATTTGAGATCGAGGTCCGTTCTCTTATTCACCAATGTTGTTTCTTCACCAATGTCGTTTCCTGCTGAACATTATCTCTGTAGCATCGGTTGGACAGACTTTGAGGAAATCTACCTTTTCGAAGCCTTGTCGCCACTCGAAATGAACGCGTTGCGTCTTTTGGAAATCAAGGACAATATACTCAACAACCAGCGCAATTTTTGGGACTCGGACGAGGAAGATGATGATGATGAGGATGGGGACGACAATGATGAGGCTGGTGATGAGGACGAAACAGCAGAAGACCAAAATAACCAGGAAGAAGACAAGGACAATAGTCTTGAAGAGTACAACAAATGGGACCGAGATGGCAGAGTATATCCCGGTCTCGTAACCATGTTTCTGGCCTCGATGGGCTCTGGGGGACTGCCAAATCTTACACACTTGTGGGTCGATGAACGTGTGTTGATGCCGGCGGAGCTCTCCATCCAAGAAATACTGTCTGCTTATGGGGACAGTCTTCGAGGAGCTTTGTCCCGCCTCACAAGTTTGCGTGTGGGCTTCGGTCGGGTCGATGCTGCGGACGTTCAAGATATCCTTGACCTGTGCGATCCAGCCAAGCTGACACAATTTGGATTTGAGTGGAAGTGGCAAGCATATGGACAAGATGAGGTATGGGTTTCTGCTAAATTACCTGAAATATCTCTCATTTAGCTCCAGACAATCTCGAGCCAACTCCTTGCCACCCTCTCGCATTTCCCATCGCTGACCGATGTCCATATTCTCTTTCCGCGTCCAGGCACTGAAACAAACGAGCGCGCTACAACTGACCCCCGGACACTCAGCGATGTCGCCGCCCTCTTTGTGTGCAACACTGCTATCACAACTGTCGGCATCGGCCACTCTATCATTTGGGACCGCGCCTCTCCTCCCCTCCTTGTTTGCAACGGCAAACATGGCCTCCCAAATGCCTATGTTCCACGGTTTTTCCAAGCAGGCTTCATGCTGAATGGCATGGATGGCCCGGCGCCAGAGCCTAACAACTCTGTACCCAAGCGGCCAAAACTGGGTGAGGAGATTGAGCAACTGCGGAATGTGTTGCAAAATGTCTTTTCATGATGAACTATATGCCGCGTTCCGTAGATGTATTGTCAACTTGTGCAATCAAGTGAACTCACACTGGAGTTTCTGCCAAACTGGGCCCTGAAGCAGAAACCTGTGCTACACTACAGGGTATTTCAAGTTTTCAAACATCTAAATTCATTTATGGCACTGTCTTCTCAATCCACTACCCTACTTTTTGTTTTATTTGCAATTCAAGCAATTAGAGTTCATTGGCAGCTCTAAAAAGGAGTCTGGACCTATACTGACCCAGAGAAAAGAATGTTTTAGTGTAAACTTTACTGCTTCCTTGGCATATATGTCTGCATCTACAACTGGAATATAACAAGGCCTTACTTGGGAAGGGGTCAGCCTCAGCTCATTATTGTTTATGACTGTGAACTTTAAGATTCTGTCCAATATTTTGCTGGATAGAGTACTGATACTGTACTATCAATCAATTCATACAGTACCAAGTTAAATACTCTGAAGGCTGTAATAGATAAAATAAGAAGTGTCAGAAATCAGTGTAATAGACCATGCCGCACACTCCCGATTGAGTGCCAACAGACGAATAGCTTGACCACTACCTGAGGGTACAAAGGGAACAAAGGGGGAATAAAAGCATGTCCTACAGGCACGCAGACGTCATTACTTATAGCGCTTCTCCGGCACTGCCCTAACCTGGGCTCCAGCCAGCCGCAATCACATGCAGGACCGCACATCACCGCGCTCCTGATACATCAGCAAAATCGGGAATGCCAGGTGATGCCAGGTGACTCGTGTAGTGCAGGTGAGATTAACCCGGCATGGTATGGCCTTGCAGATTGGTTACCCAGCAAAGTAAATAGCTCATATGCCGGACAGCTCTTGACCCAGCTGGTGAATGGTTTGCAGGTGTATTACCAGGCTGTTTGTCCACAACCTGCTGTTTATGACATTTGCAGCGCAACAACCTGACTGTTCAGCAGTATTTACTAACTTTGAAATACAATGCATTTATTCGATGGAGCCCGACGCAAAATACTGTAAGTGGTCATCAAACCCATCCTCTCCATCTTCCAGCCTCAAGTCGATGTTTCCAAGCTTATCTTCATTGTCATCATCATCACTGTCGCTGAGCTCAGTCAGCTCGGACAACTCAGACTTATGGCCTTCGTCTTCCTGCAAATCCCCATTCCCATCTACCAGATCTTCCTCTTCCCCTTCTTCAAGTTCCCCCTCCTCACCATTGTCCAGTGGCATGTCAGTTGATTCTGGTTGATCCTGGTCTGGAACCTCCCATACTTCCTCCTCCCATTCATCATCTGGAACACTGACATAATACGAATGGCCAACACCACCTCCCAAATACCGCATAAGCATGTTGCGGTCAACAAAACTGGATACAAGTGTCAGTAGCCTGTAAATCGACCAAGTGGCCAAAGACTCTACTCACAAGTTAACATAATGGTACTTCCAGTCTGAATCTTTGCCTGACTTGCACGCTAAGGATTCAAAATACATAGTTGGTGTCCTCCCATGAGTGTATGTGGGGATGAGATGGGCTTCGCGGATGACTTTGTCTGGGCTGACAAAGCCAAAAGCATTGGGGTCAGTGTTGGGTAGGAACTCGATGCAATGTAAGTGTTTCCACTTGAATCCACCCTTCCAGGCACTGTCAATGCGGAAATGTCGGACCCATAAGACTGGCACTGTTTGAACAGTACTCATCTGGCCATAAAACAGGTGTTGCACATTAAAATGCAGCACTGCGAGGACACGAGCATAGGCGTATGGATGGTCAATTGTTGTGTCTTTGAGGGCAAGAGTCATAATATCAGAATGGGTTCGGGAGTTCATTGAGTCTTGTCCGCACCGCACGTCATAGCTCGTGTAGTTAACGTGCAACACCCTGTGAAAGTACATCCTATCATTGACAATGAAAAGCCGGTTTCGGTCAGCGGTATCGTATTTGGCTCCATTGGTTGAGTATGTGGGATGCAGAACACAACCCAAACGATGTCATTGGAGTTTTACACAGAAGTCCTGTAACTCAGTCAAAGAAGAGACAACACAGCAAATCAATCAATACCTTGACTGCAGCATCTCCCGCGTTGTTGGTGAGCCAGAGCAAGAGGTTATGGTGAGTGTTTCAACCAAGTGAGATGTGGAAGTGAAACTCTGATGGAGTTGGAGGGAGAGATTCAGTTTCACACTTATGTCGCTTGGAAGACTGGTGGGATTCTGTTTCGGCTTGTTTGCGCTTGTGAGAGCGAGGCATTAAACACTCCGCATCTGAGGCTTGGGCTTGTACAGCAATCTTCAACAAGATAGCCTCTCGGTGTTCTAAATTACTGATTTGTTGGGTTGCATCATTCTTGCTTATTCTAGAATAAAAGGCCTTGCCACATTTATGTTCCGCTTCTCCCTAGCCGATGAAATGAGCATAAGAATAAGCAACAGATAACGGAGACCAACAACAACGGTGGAGTAGGAATTGGAAGTACCGATGTCGGGAATGGTTGGAACATAATCCCCAAGAAAGTGTGTTTTGACTGTGTTCAGGTTGAATTTCTTAAGCTTGGTTCCAGTCAATGTCGCAGGCGGGGGCATATCTCCTGTTGAGCTCGCTTCCTGAACTTTGTGCATGTACTGCTTTTGCCGTGCTGCTTCCTCACGTGGGAGCTCCTTGGTCGGGAAATGTTCACATGTTGTCCACGCAAAACGACAAAGCTGGTAACCCAGTTCACATGTGGCTTCTTGGAGGTGTGCCAAGGAAGCTGTGATATGGACCCGGAGCTTCGCCAGCCCATGCCAGTATGCATGCGCAAAAATGAGATCTTGAATCATTGCGTTGTTGACAGCATATTTGTCAGCCAGAAGGTCCTCAAAAACAGGAAGAGCACACTGGTCACAAGTCAGTATCTGTATTTGCTTGAGAACTGACGACATACTTGCAACAAGTCTTTGAAATCGTAAGCAGCAAGCTTTTTTCATGGCGGAGGTATTATTGGTGAACCGTCAAATTGTGTCACGTCCAAAGGTTGGCACTCGTCGGTAGCTTATGAAATTTGAGGTGGTGAAGAACAAGTGAGCAAGTCAGTACTGACTTGCGTAGGGACCCAGGACTCAGGATAAAGTAAGCCCTCGACTGCTTTGCTCTTAATGGCTTTTGCTGCACAATATATAAAGTGGCGAGCACGGGGTAATTATTGAGTCTTGCTTATGTGATTGGACATGAGCAAATCTTTGGCGTCGTTTGGTGTTGTTTACTGTGCCCAGCTCGTGGAATTGCTCTGTCGGAATGGTGCAACGTGGACATGAGCAGTGCCCTAGTCCTCTGATGGCAGCAAGAAGAACTCTGTGTGAACGTCAGACGGTCCTCGAAGTATGTGGTAGGTAATGACATACTTCTCCAGATAGTCTGCAGAATATGTGAAGATGCGGAAATAGAAGCGTCGGGAGATGCCATCAGGGCACATAATAATAACTCCATGTTTACAGGCCTCTATGAATGTGTCGTTCATGAGGAACTGCCAGATTGCATGGAACAGTTCACAACGATAGTGAGCCAGAACTTCTTTTGGAGGCGCACTGCCAGTTTGCAACTTGAACCAGTCAAGAAATTGGTTGTCAGGGGAACCTCCCTTTCGGCCCGGAGACGCGCCCGATTCCGGTCCGATTCCGGTTCCGACTCCGGTCCGGCCCTCCATCTCGCCCGCACAATCACCGATCCGTCAACGCCCTCCCGACGGTCGCCCTGGGACCTCGCCTGCGACGCCGCCCAAGCCTTCTGTGCCCGACAGCGGCAGCTACGGACAAGCAGTATATAGTCAGCTCCCTAGCAGGGACCCTTAGAGTTTCTTCTCTTCGGATCCTCCCCTGCTAGGTCAGCTTCATTTGTATTCGCTACCAATGTTCACTCTTCGGATCCTCCCCTGCTAGGACCTTGATCTCAGGCCTCCGGGGTTGCCCTTACAGCAGAAGAAACTCTCTACGGGATTAACCGGACAAGATTGCCAGGTTCGGCGCTGACTCAGGCTCGGAGTACGAGTCCGTTCCGCCCTCGTCACCACCCCTGCCACTTGTCCCCTCCTCCTCTACTCCTGTGGTCCCTGCACCCGTCATGCCGTCCGGAGTCACTCCTACCGCAGACGCCCGGCTGGACTCACTCGAGGCGAAAATTGACAGCCTAACTGAGGCCCCTTGCCTTACTCACCAACCAGGCTTCCGCTGCCGCTGCCGCCGCTAATAATGCTGGCGGACCCCAAACACCATCGCCGGAGACGTCGATTCCGACTCCGACTCCGGTCCAGGGCGACTCGAAGCCCTTTTTGGCGATATCAACCTCGCCTCAAAATTGGTCTTGCGACCAAACCCCCCGTTCACCTTCAACGGCGACCGGAAGCGGGCCGCCGCGTTCCTCTACGCCGTCCGCACCTACGCCCGCCTTGCCCCCGAGGCCTTCGTGGTCAACGGAGAGGCGAGCGAGAAAAAGGCCGTCCGCTATGCCATGTCGTTTATGGCAGAAGGACCCGCTCAGCAATGGGCGGAGCGCCACGGAAGCAAAGCCCCCGTTTCTGTTTCCGTCCTGGGGCTCGTTCGTTCCGAGTTTCGACTCCGGTTCGTCGAGGAGAACGAGCAAGATCACGCTCTCTCCAAGCTGGAGACTTCCGCCTATCACATGGGCACGAAGGATGTCTACCAGTACACTGACGACTTCGAGGACCTGATGGACCTCGCCGGATTCAAAGACGCGTTGGTCAAGGTGACCAAGTTCCGCCATGGACTTGATCCCTTGATCAATAACGGAATCACGTCCTCGAACGACCCCCGGACCTCCGGGACTACCTTAGCTGGTGCACCCGGGCCTTCCGTCAATACGAGGCCCTGGTCCGGGCCAAGCTGATCAAGTCAGCCGCCCCCAAGACGCCTGGCGGTTTGATTCGGACTCCGTTTCCGGTCAACCGCATCCCGGCTCCGGCCCCTTCCGCCCGGTGGCTCCGGTCGTGCCACCCGCGGCCCGCGCCCCGCTCCGGCGCCTCCAGCTCCTGTCCCTATGGAGTTGGATCGCACCAGGGCTCGGGGTGCCCCTCGTCGCGCCTGCTTCAGGTGCGGCGACCCAAACCATCTCGCCAGGGATTGCCCCTCCCCGCGGACGTCCGCTCAATGGACATCCTCGACGAGGTGATCCAACAACTTCGGTGACGAGATGTTAGCGGAGTTGATTGCCCGCTACACGGACACAGCTGCCCTGCCGGAGACGACAGCGGAGTCGATGGCCGGAGAGGATTTTGTCCCCGCGACGAGTGACTGGTGTGCCCTCGTTCGCGTCTATAAATCGTTTTGCCTCTTTGTATGATGAATGCAGTTCCTTGCCCTACAATGAGCCCGAAACGAAAGACACACCCTCTCCTGCCCCCGCCTCGACTCCGTCTCCGACTCCGTCTCCGACTCCACCCGCGACTCCGGTCATCGTCCTTCGCCGCCTCACTGCCTGGGAAAAGAAACTGCCCAGGCAGTACACTGTTGCCGCTGCCCCTGGGGCGAACTCCCTCCACCTCCCGTTGGAGCTCGAGTCCACCACCAGCGCGCTGAAGCTCTCACTCTCTGGGCTTGTCGACTGTGGTGCCACCTCCGACTTCATTGACACGAACTATGTCGCTCGGAATGGCATTCCGGTCCGCACCCTCGATCAGCCGATTCCGGTTTTCAATGTCGATGGCACCCCCAATGACGCTGGCTCCATCAAACAGATCGCGGACTTGGTCCTGCGCTACAAGGGCCATGCCGAACGAGTTCAACTGGCCGTCACCCATCTTGGCAAGCAAGACCTCATCCTGGGGTATTCCTGGTTGCGGAAGCATAACCCAGAGATCAATTGGGAAACCAAGGAGGTCAAGATGACACGGTGCCCCCGCAATTGCTCGACCTGCCGTGAGGAAGAGCGCGTTGAACGGACCGAGCTGCGGCGACTCCGGTCGCTTCAGAAGCGCCTCCGCTCTGGCCCGTTCCCCTCGGTTTGCACTATGGACCTCTCTGGCCCTGAGGACGGAGACGACTCCGATTCCGGTCTCGATTCCGACCTGCCTGATCTGACGCCGGACTCGGACTCGGATGACGAAGATGACCAGCTCGAAGATGGCGACCGCATCTTCTACACCTCGTTCCGTCCCTCAGAGGAGATACGTGCAGGTAGCACCGTCTCACAGCGTCTGGCCAGGCCTTCGCCAGGAACTCCGCCCCACTGCCCTCCGAGATCCCGGACTGGGCTAAGGAGTTCCAGGACGTCTTCAACAAGGAGTCCTTCGATACGCTACCGGAACGGAGAGCCTGGGACCACGCCATTGAACTTGTCCCCGACGCTAAGCCCACCAACTGCAAGGTGTACCCCATCTCGCCCCTCGAGCAACGCGAGCTCGACGCGTTCATCGAGGAAGGGCTTTCGACGGGCCCGCCCCTCCAAGTCTCCGATGGCGTCTCCGGTCTTCTTCGTCAAGAAGAAGGATGGCGGACTCCGCTTCGTCCAGGACTACAGTGCTCTTAACGTGATGACTGTCAAAAACCGGTACCCCCTTCCGCTGATCAACGACCTCATCAACCGGCTCAAAGGCGCTCGTTACTTCACCAAACTCGACGTCCGTTGGGGCTTCAACAACGTTCGGATCAAGGAAGGTGACGAGTGGAAGGCGGCTTTCCGGACTAACCGAGGCCTGTTCGAGCCCTTGGTGATGTATTTCGGCCTGACAAACTCTCCCGCAACGTTCCAAACGATGATGAATGACATTTTCCAGGACCTCATCCTCTCCGGAGACGTCATGATCTACCTTGACGACATCCTGATCGCCCATTCCGACCTC